AAGAAAGAAAGAAAGAAAGAAAGAAAGAAAGAAAGAAAGAAAGAAAGAAAGAAAGAAAGAAAGAAAGAAAGAAAGAAAGAAAGAAAGAAAAAGAAACATTTCACTTCAACTTCTTGTTACCTCAGTGAATTTTTTTTTAAAATCATCATCACTCAACAAACATTGGGAACCTACAGAAAAGTATTGTCCTCACCAGGATGGAGTATAAACCATGTCACTGCACTGCGTTTCCTGTTTCTGCCTTTTGATTTTCTTTAATTATCCCACATGCTCCAGTCCCTCCCCTCCCTGCTAGGATGGAGGAGGATAGTGGCTGGGGGCCAGTAGGGAGGTGGGGAGACACCCTGAGAAGAACACCCCTGAGCAGGACTACAGGAAGCTTCAATAACACACTCCATGCGAAGCACCAGGCACAAAATTTAAAGTGTAGTCTTCCAAACGTATAGCTTCTGAGGGAGGAAAAAATGGACAAAAGAAAGGAAAAAGGGTCCATTTGCAATTTGGTAATGAAGGGAAAAAAGAAAAAGTTTCTAATAGAACTTGGAGTTTTCCTGCAAAATGAAAGACAGTCACAGACTGAGGGGACCTGCCCCACCTCCACCATGAATGCTGACCAACCACGCTACCAAAACAACCAACCCAACCTGGGCTTTGCCAGAACAGTGGGAAAGGATGCCATTAAGCTGGGTAGTATGTGAAACACCACAACATCATAAAAATGAACAAGAGGAAAGTAAAATCCATAGAATAGAGCAAATCCCACAGACACACTTTTCATGGACTCCCTCCTCCAAAAATGACCATGAGTCAGAAGAAAATATAAGTCTACGCTCCAAACGGAATTAAATACACTCAAGCAAGCAGGTAGAGAGAGGATAACCCACCTATAACCAGAAGTTGAGACAAATGAAAGAAAAAGTTGATTAAACTCAGAGAAGAAAGGAAAGAAAAAGAAAAAATTATCTAAGAAATGAAGAATAAGTGAAAAGATACCCAAGTTAGAATAAACTCAAATGGAAAATTAGTAAGGGAATTGAAGAACGGCATGGGGACACGAAAGTGAATGAAAATGACAGAGAGAAGTCAAACCAGCCAGGGAGAAGGGGTCCAATGACAGTCAGAGTTTGGCATGCATGCACTATGTGCCCCAGTGATGGGATTAAAAATGAATTCTAGGTTCTTAATATGACCCGCGTCTACAGGCTGTCCCAGAGTAATGGAACCATAGAGTAACTGAGAAGGTAGAAGGAGCGGCCAATCGGAGAGAGACTCTGGCCTGAAACCGCCCACCCACTCAGCCCAGGGGGAGGCAGTTTGGGAAGGAAGGCCCAAGGGGATGCAAGTGCTTCAGCTCCCCTGTCCGTCTCCTCATCTGCAAAGTTAGGCAGCCCGTCTGGAATATCTCTGGGATCCTTTCCAACTATCCATTCCAGCCTTCGGACAAGTTCTGCATATTAAGCCAGGGGATCCCCAGAGCTAAGTTTCTTTCCTTATTTGTCTTCCAGGAGGTGCTTAGAGCTGCAAGGAGCGCCCCTGCCCATTATGGGTAATCAGGTGATCTGCTGTGTGGCTCTTTGTCTCCTCGGAGCAGGTGAGTCTGGGGTAGGGGAGCAAATTCCTGTCCCAAGGATGCAAAGCTCCAGATCTAAGCCTTGCCCCCCATGACCTAAGCAGTAAGCACCTTCCCGGGCTGTGTTTCTAGAGCCTCTCTTTCTTCCATAGGCACAGCGGCTGGTGGAATCACTCAGACCCCAAAATACTTGTTCAGAGAGGAAGGACGAGAGGTGACTCTGGAATGTGAACAGGATTTAATCATGACTCTATGTACTGGTACCGACAGGACCCAGGGCAAGGGCTAAGACTGATCTACTACTCGCTGACAGCAAATGATATTCAGAAAGGAGACATACCTGAAGGCTACAGTGCCTCTCGGGGGAAGACAGCATTCTTCTCCCTCATTGTGACATGGATTTGAAAGAACCAGACAGCTCTAATATCTCTGTGCCATTAGTGCAGACACAGTGAAGCCCAGCCATGTGCCCTTCATGCAGAAATGTGTCTCGAGCCTGTATTTCCCACCAGGTGTCAGGGTTTTGCTGTATTCAGTGGCCTGATCTGCATGCTTTCCTCCACATTCAACCAGACCCCCAAACAGCTGCTGCCATCAACGTGCTTTGTGGAATGGCACAACACCTTGGCAATCCACTATGTTGGTTCTGAGAATTATATCTATATCTATATCTACATCAGAGAGAGACAGAGATAGAGGGAGTAACCGAGAGAGAGAGAGAGAGAAGAAGGAGGTGGAGGAGGAGGGCGGGTGGAGGAGGGGGGGTGAAGGAGGAGGCGGGGGAACGAAAATAGACCAAAGAAAAAATATACGAATTTTACATCCTAGCTCTTTTTACCAAATACTGGAAAACCAAAATGAACAGAAAATGGTCCCTTCCTTCAGAATAATAGAAGCCAAGCAGGAAGAAAAATGTGTAGAAGACAAATACAGTGATCAGGTTTCCTATAATGTGTGCCTTAATCAGAGATGTTGGTGGGCCATAGGAAATAACATGGCTGGTTTTGTCTGGTGGCATCATGAAGGGCTTCAAAGAGAAGGCAAAACCATGAGCTGAAACTCAAATGATGAATCAGATTTCACCTGGTGGACAAGCACCCACAGTGATACAGCTTACGGAACTGGCAGGAGGGAGTGATGAGATAAAATCAGGAATGAAGACGGTCACCTCCACCCCCGGAATATGGCAACAGGAGACGATTTGGAAGAATGAGTGGAGCAAGGGTATTGAACACATCTGAATTTCTAGTTCTAGTGGACCTTCCTTGGATACCTGCATTGAAATACCTAGTAGGGGAGTGCTTGACTGGCTCAGTCAGAAGAGTGTGGGACTCTTGATCTTGGGGTTGTGAGTTCAATCCCCATGCTGGGGATAGAAGTTACTAAAAATAAATAAATAAAAACTGGGGAAAAAAAAAAAAAGAAATACCCAGTAGGCTTGGTTGGTGCTTAGGAGGGAGAGTTGGGCTTGAGAGAAATATTTGCATGATTAATTAGCAGACAGGAGATCAGTATTATTTTACAAATGCTCATTTTTCTGTATGGTTTCTCCCTTTGAGGTCTGAGACCTATCTATCAAATTAAGGCAAGCGGTGTTAATTCTTGAGATTTCATTTGTTTAAAAATATTTATTTTATCACATAATTCTGCTTGCAGAAATGAATGACTGCCTGTATTATTTATCCTTCCAACTGCATACAACTAGAAATGCTGGATTAATAGATATATATATTTTATCTGTAAATATTTTTAATTTTTTAAATTTTACCTTATTATGTTATGTATTTTTAAATATTCTTGGAAGAATTTAAGATCCTCAGCCTGTTCTCCTGTATGGCCCTGTGTTTCCCAGGACAAGCAATTTCTGGGAAAATATGGGGAGTCCCTGACCATTACATATAATCTTGGGCTTCATGCATTTTATTTGTATTCCTTCTGAACTGTTAGCTTTGGATTTCTTCTCCCATGTATTCTGTGGAAGACTGACTCACGCAGAGACCAAAGTACTGAGAAACAGAAATGGGAAAGAGACACTAATCTACGAATAGGATTTACAACCCTGAAATGTGGTATGATGAGCACTAGCCCTCATTGCAACTGATATCCTCTGACAAGAGTAAAGAAACCACCAGGAATGGGATGGATCTAAGATGCTTCACTTTATCCAGTCCATGTTCATCGATACCTCCAGATCAATCATTTCCTGAGCCATCCGATACAGTCATGGACCAGTGGGAGACACAGCCCCTATCATTCTCTGTTCCCTGGGTACAAGCCATATTCCAGAGTTTGTGGGATGGGTGAGGCTATCTGTCCAGTGAGAGAGAGGAAATTAAGGGGAGCACAGTAGGAGACAGTTTCATTTTTCTTTATTATCTTGGACATAACTTGAAGGGATATAGATTTCCTCCTGTCAGTTGATGAATTTATAAAACAAAGAGTATGGACTTTACATGATTTTTTAAACATCCATTCTAAAACTATCGAACCATTTACTTTTTCAGAGTGGCCCTGATACTAGAAAGAACTTTTAAGCTGTGAAATTTCATAACCTCCATCCCCATGACCAAGTTATAAAGAGTAATTGTATGAAATGAAAGTCCAAAAAATCAAAATATCACCAAATCTCTCTTTAGCAAGCTTTGAGGAGCCATTGTATCTGTTAACGAGGGAGAGCAATTTACAGAAAAATATAATCAAAGAACTATAACATTTCTTGCTTACAGTAAAAATAATTTCTGAATTCAAAATTACACTGGAAGCAATCAGTAGTAAATTAGACAAGCCAGGAAACCAGTTTGCTAATTGTATGCAAACTCGGGGAATATTCCAGGATTCTGAGGAAATAGAAAAAAGTATGTGAGAGAAATAATTTCACAACAACTTTATTATTCATGGTGATCTCAAATGGGAAAACGCCCAAATATCCATCAACAATGCAATAGCCAAATAGTGTTATATAATAAAATTTAGCAAAAAAATCAAATATTATTTGCAAAATCATGGCTGAATCTCATAGACATGATGTTGAACAGAGAAGCCAGACACAAGGGTACCTACTGTATGAAGTTAGAGTAGTGACTGCATGTGGAGGCATTTTTAATTTACTTGGAGGGGAGCATGAGAGAGGTTTCTGGGGTTCTGAAAATGTCCTCTATCTTGATCCGGGTGGTGGTTACCTACCTAAGTGCATTCATTTGTGAAAATTAGCTAAGCTGTACACTTAAGATTTGTGTGGTCTATTATATGTATTTTATATCTCCCTTTAAAAGCTTAGAAAAACAACTACCACCACCACCACCCCAAAATATAATGACTAAAAATAAAAATGTATTCTCTCTCATGGTTCTGTGGGTTGAATGGGCTCTGGTAGGCAGTTCATGCTTGGGGTCTCTCATGTAGTGACAGACAGTCACCAAGCTGGAGATATCTGAAGGCTCAGCTGGACTGGAAATCCAAGGTGACTTCTTTATACACATATCTGATACCTCACCTGGGGTGACCGGGACAGCCATAGACCAGCCCCGCATGTCTTTCTCCACATAGCCCTTCATTGTGGTTAGGTGGGTTTCCTCACAGCATGGTGGCCTCAGGTAATTCAAATTATTACATACTGGTTTCCTTCCCCAAGAGTGAGCATTCAAGAGACCCAGGTGGAATCTGCAAGGCTACGTATGAAAATCATACAGTATCCCTTCCATCACATTCAAGTCAGCCCTGATCCTTATAGGAATGTGAATGCTGGGAAGTATGGTGGTTCATCTGTGTGCCATCTCTGAGGAGAGGCTACCATAATATAATAAATTGTACTACTGATCTCATTCCTCACCACCTTAGACCAATGATGACTTCAGAGCGGAACAACACCTGCTTCATGTGCAAATATTTTTCTTGAGGTCAATTCTAATTGAGAGCTTTACCACAAAAAAAGTTCTAGGAAATGTATTTCTTCCTTAGTTAAGTTGACTATGAATATGAAACACCATAGGGTGTGTGTGTGTGTGTGTATATATATATATATATATGTATGTATATGTGAATGTATACACACACACACACACACGATGGCTGGCGGTCCTCAAAAAGAGTAGAAAGATTTTCTTCTGATGCAGGGGCTGCCAGACACTTCATCCCATATATGTCATAATGTTGTGGAGAAGTAATATGTTGCAGGCACATTCACTTACTCTGCAGGGAAAAAATACAGTTATGGTGGGAAGTGACCTCATCATAATGTGGTCTTCCCCCACCGTGAAAAAAATATAGCCACAGAAGCATATTAGATGCCCTTGAATACATATATCCATATTGTGCATATAGTAATATTTAGTAGACAATATTATATTTGCTATGATACAAATCTATGTCACTATAGCACAAACATAATTTGATGGATCAGGTCCTAATCCCACCTTGTTTAGTTACTCACTCCACATATAAAGAACTAAATATGAATGAAGCACAACTGGGAGGTTATTATAAAAATGAAAGTATAATGCTTTGGAGAAAAATCTTCAGCCTCCTTGAAATTGCTATACATTTCCTAGCATGAGCCATTTAAATAAATATTCCAGCATGTTCAAAGCAGAAATAATTCCCCAAATCTCCTAGAACCTATCACCACTGGCCAATACTTAGCTTATGACCTGTATTATGGTGAAAGAGCTGCAAACAAATTATCTTCCTAGCCTCCACAGTGGTTTACACAGAGACATACGGACTATGAAAAATAGCTATGTTGAAATATTAAGTCCATCAATATGAAGGAGACTGGCATGAGATAGTAGTGAAATAAATAATTCATTTAGAGGATGAGAAATTTTCTTTATCATCAGTATGAAGAAACATTAAACTCAGAGCCTAGGATTTCTTATGCTCACCCATAGTTCTAGTGATTAACAGTCATGAATTGTCTCGGTTACTCCGAGGATCGTTACAGAAATGAAGAATTGACTATAATTCCATTTACTACACAAACATATAGCCTTTTTCTTGAATAAAGCTAAGAAACTTGTTTACGTCATTTCCATGATCTGGGTCTTAGTGCATGTTCTATAAAGTTAGGAGTAGAATTAAAACATCTGAGGCCCCTTTCAGCCGTGTGTGTGGTGACTCTTTGATAGAAAGAGCGATGGATCCTGCGCCACTGGCAAAAAATCACCACCAGGGGGCGGACTGGAGCGCCTTCCGGATTACGTAAGCGGTGGTCCACCCTCCTAGGGGTGGAGAAAGGGAGAAGGAAGAGCGTGGTCATACCCTGAATCATGAGCGAGGTGTGGTATGAGGCCAACGCCTGAAGATGCTGATGCTTCTGCTGCTCCTGGGACCCAGTATGAACCATATTATCTGAGGAGTTTGGGCAAGTGTGTGTGTGCATTGGCATGCGCGAAGTGGTAGCCAGAGAT